AAAAAAAAAAAAAATATATATATATATATATATATAAAAATCACAAAAAAAAAAAAATACAAACAAAAAAAAAAGTTTCATGCCAGATCATCAAGAAAAAAAAGTCTTGTAGCTCTTCAGGCCATTTGTACTTCACTGGCACAAGGCAGATTGCCACCAAACCATCCTACCCTATGCAACGCCAAGGGGAAAAAAAAAAAAAAAAAAACAAAAAAAAAAAAAAACACACAAACACAGAACATAGAAGCTTTGAAGAGACAGAAGAATCCCAAAGGAAAATCAGTAAAGAACTTCTCCCAAGTAGATAGATGTGATAATTCTCAATAAGAGAGCCTTCTGCATCTATCATTTTTTATGTAAAGCCCTTCTCCCCATCTGCAGAGGTTCAGGATTCAGCTGTCAGAGGCTGCCTGATCTGCAGAAGGCAGTTGTATTTAAAATTGGTTTAAGGTTCTTGGGTGTTGCTCCTTGGTATAGACACACAGCTGCTTCAGCAGGGCTGAGATTTCATTCTAGGTGTTCTCACCTGCCATGCTTCACCTATTGGAACATACCTTATGAGAGGAAAAAAGACTTCTCAGGGAAAACTCAAAATGCAAGGCATGGCTTCTGTAAACCCTGTTCTACCCAAATCACAACCTCTTTATGTCCAGCAGGGAATTACAAGGGGAAAGAAACAAAGCCTAAGGTTTGAGGAAAGGAAAAGATCCTTTCTGGACACAGTTTGTGCTACTACAATTGTTACATGAGACAAATTAATTGGAAAATGCATTGGGACATCAGGCCACAATGGGCTGCCAAAACCAGTCTTCCATCTTCCTTTTCAGGGCCAGTGTCCTTGCTTATTTCACTTTACTGGGCTGCAAGTTCTTCAGCAAAGCCTCTGGTTTACTGGCACATAAATATTTTTTGTTTGGTTGTTTTTTGGGTTTTTTTTGTTTGTTTGTTTGTTTTTGTTTGTTTGTTTGGGTTTTGGTTTTTGGTTTTTTTTCCACTGTAGTGGGCAAGGAATAAGCATTGGCAAGCCTGGCTACCAACAGCTATGGTCATACTAGCCCTACAAGACCAGGACTACAGTCCAACCTCCTTGGACTGTGCAGCCAGAGGACAGCAGAACTTTGCTCTCACAGAAGGTTTAATCACTTTAAAAGGGAAACTTTGCAAACATGGATATGGGTAAACATCAGCAGGATAAACAAAGTAAGCCAAGAACAGAAAACAGAAGTGACATCTTACAGCAACACGGCAAGTTACTGACAGAGTCTACAACCTAAATGATACCCCCTAACACAAGGGAGTTTGTATGGCCAAACTAAACTTTGCCAGATCCTGGAACAAAGCCTTCCCTTCTGGTTAGGAACAGAGAAGGAGAAAAGAAGATGTCTTGGTTTCTTGGTACATCTGAGTAAAAACATGAAAAAAATATGACAGCCCATTCACGTCACAGAACACAGACTCCTCATTTTGCCCAGCTTTATAATGAAAAGAGAGTAAGAGACCACCACTCCTACAGGACAGACTGAGGATGGGAAGTTCCTAAGTCTAGAAAGGGAAAAATAAGTTCATCCCTTTCTACCCCTCTCCACACAAAAAAGCTCCAGGGAAAAAACCTCTTTCCAATGTCAACTTTACAATTCATCTCCTCGGATGTGCCTATTAATCTGTATGCAATTTAAATCGTCGGTTGGTGCCCACACAACCAACACCATCTTTCCACCCTGAATCTCTGCCTAACCTGCTGTTTTAATTTGTTCCAAGCAGAAATGTTTATGCATGTGCAGACTTACACACCCCAAAACAAGACACTTTGAGAAAAATAAGACCTGTGGAAATTGGGGAGGTTTTTAAAAATTTCAGAAGTACAAGATAAAAATTGATCATGTAGCAGAAACAAACTTTAATCAAGATGATGGAATACAGACGTAAAGAAAAAAACTTCAAATCCTTATTGGCAAAGATTAAAAGAGCTTACAAACACTAGGGTCTCTCTAAAACACCATGACATTGGAAGCATTACAATTTTACTCCGTTTTATGAAATTTAGAATTATGGAAAGTTCAGAGCTGGACATCTTGGTCTGAAAAATCCTTCAGCTAACTACAGGATGAACAGAGCATGACTTCCAGCCTAAGTCTCCTAATCATTAGTTACAAAGGATGATATATGAGTTAGCAATGGTTGCATGGGTCCTTTCTGCTAGGTATGTATCTCTGGACAGAGGCATCAACTTATTTGATAGACTTCACTGGACAATGGGCAAAATACTGCCATGTCTTGTACTTGAGGCTACCTTTGAATAGAGAGAGAGGTTAAAAGAGTGCACAGCCCATTTGCAAACAGCATAGTCAACCATTCTGCCCCATATTTCCTGTGGAACTGAGAAAGTGTCTTCCAAAAATAGCCAATAGTTTTGCCGAAAGGCTCAAAACAAACAGTACTTCTGAAGGAATATCTTACATACTTTACATAATAGCCATCTCAGAAGGGGAAAAAAAGGATGTGTACAGTGTTTCAGTGTGAATTCTGCATTGAACAAAAAGACATCATTCTTTGCTTAACACAAGGCTTAAATTCACCATGAAGGAAGCTGAAGTCAAAGCCTCAGGGCTCAAGTTGGGAGGGAGATATCACTCTGAAGGGAAGAATTTTTATCCTAGATTCAAATGGAAAGAAGATACGTAAAAGGAACACTGTCAGCTTGTTTAAACCTCAAAAAAGGAAAGTTCCCTTCACAAGTATCTACTACATTTTTAAGTGCTTGGTTTGTTGTGTACTCAGATCTACCACTGCACACTCTGCTTACCTTTTTTTTTTTATTTTTTAAATAGCTGGTTAGTTCTTATTGCCAGACACATGGTTTACCCTTCCTGCTAAACATAGAAACACAGTTTAAAACTAAATTCCACAAGACTAACACCAGTATAGTGCCATTACCACTGGTGCCTGCCTTGTCACTTTGTATCCATCTGTATCTTTCCTCACAATCTGAAAGTAAACACTCACACCTTTGCCTCAGTGAAAGTCTGCCCCTTAGAGACAAGGGTAAAATACCTCACACTCCACAAGAGGAATTGTTAGAGAAGAAGGGGCAAATCAGAGCATATTTTCCTTTGTTGAGAACCCAGAGAGCAAAGTTGTTTTGTTTGCATTAGGATAACAACAGCTGAAGGACCTATAATTTGTGTTAACTTACTAAGCAACGGCTTAGGGATTTGTTTTCCTTTTCTCCTTAGAGGGAGGAGCTTTTTCGGTGTAAAGAGACAAACAACTGATTTCAGATCATGCAAATCACCTGAAATACACAGTTAACCTCTTGATCATCATTATTGTTGTCATCATTCCCACATCTCCAGTCACCACCAGGGAATAAGCGAGGAAGTGAACTGGATCTCCAGTTGAGAGGAATTTGTGGAAAACTCTCCCTAGGAAAAGAACCTGCGTGCATTCCAATAAGAAGCCAGGGAAGGACCTGGCAGGCCACACTTGGCTCCAAGCTGCACCAATAAATACAATAACTTCATCAGCAGGCCAAGCAGCTCAGCCTTTACCACCTAACTTAATATTAACTAAAAATATAGTTGCCATCTGGTGGCTAACACAGAATGAATTTAGCATCTATGATGAGTTCAGGGCGGATCAGATACCAGGAGACAGATTTCTTGTCCTGTCCCCTCCTGGAACTGCAGTAAATTGAAAAACCACAGATGTGGCCACACTCACTCTCATGTACGGAGTGAAGCCAGGACCTTGTCACTGCAGCCCGTTCCATACTGGTTCTGCTATTCACTTGGGGTTTTTTCCAAGCAGTCAATCAAGTTCAAAACACGCTCCTAGTCTTAGTAAATGAGCTTAAACTAGTGGAAGCAGCATGCGCAACATTAGGCCCAACAGGTTTGAGTTGCCATTCTGACCCAGCAGCATTTTGTAACAGTGTCGGCAAATGCTACAAGGCTCAGGCCAGCACTGCATCCAATCCCAAACCTCCTAGATTAAATCTAGCTGCTAAAGATAACTCCCAGGGAACAAGAGCAGCAGTGGGCAGATCTGTTCACCCTCCCTCCCACCCTCGGAGATGCACCAGTCCTTATTCAGTCAATGTCATCTCACAGCAAATCACTGAAAACCAAGATGAGCGTGCCTGAGATAAAAGCAGCTGATCAATGTCCCTGCGTAAAACGTCCGATAATCCCTACACAGAGCAGGCGTCTGGCATCAGATGCAGCATGCCAGAGAGATGAGCATGAAAAGTATCTATTGCATATTCCTGACACCTTTGGCTGGCACAGGGGTGGGTGGAGAGCAGCAAAAGGGCTCCCGGGATTCAAAAAACACCCCTCCCTCACTCAGCAGACATCGGCACAATCTTCAAAGCCCTTACGTCTTTTGCTTTACCACCATTCCAAAATCTGGAGCTCAAGGTCAGTAAAGCAAGTAGCGACTATCATGCTATGCTGGTAGAAGATAAGGAAGCTAGTGCCCATCTCTTTTTCTTCACCGTCTTTGAGGTTACATATTTAGCGCTATCGCAAAAAAAAATTAAAAAAATAAATAAATAAATAAATAAAAGGTACTGCTCTTGAAATTGCCGCATAAGCACAACCTAAATACCACCGAAAGAAGGTCTCCTTCTGCTGAAACAATAAGCATCTGCATATTTCAAACAAACCTGTGACGCTCTGCCCTCCCTCCCCGCTCCCAGCCGAAGCCGATGCCATGTTTCTCCCTATCCTGAGCGCGCAGAGGGGGGGCCAAACCCTCACAGCAGCGCTGCATCGCCTTCTCGGGCTGCGGAGGGGCCCTAAATCCGCAGGCAGAGAAAGCGGCTGGCACCCCCCCCCCCCCCGGGTGTGTGTGGGGGGTCACGGGGAGAGGCCAGGGGCGCAGCTGCACCTACTGAGAGACGCATCTCTGCTTTGGGGGGGTGTCACCCCCGGTACCCGCATCCCGGGGAGGAGGAGGAGGAGAGGGCTCCCCCCCCCCCCCCCATACTTCTCCCCTACCTTCTCCTGCGCCCGGGTCAGCTTCTTCTGGACGTTGCTGGCGATCTTCCCGGCGGTGACCCCTTTGCTGCCCAGCTCGGCCATCTTGCCTCCTCTTTTTAACGGGCGACTGCGAACGGCGGGCCGGCAGGAAGGGGGGGAAAAACCCGGCGGGCGAGCGATGGCCCCGGCTGCCGCCGCCGCCGCCGCCTCCCGCCCGCCGCCTTTTAAAGGGACAGTGCACCCCCCCGCGCCGCCTTAAAGGGGCCGCGCCTCGCCCCGGGAGGGGGCAGCATCAGCACAGCTGGGCATCTCGCCTGCTAGGGGGTGCGGGAAAGAGACGGGGGGCAGATGTCGGCCGGATTTCCCCTCACCCTGCTTGCCTCCTTTGGGCCAGGCGGGAACCCACCGCAGCCTGGCCCAGAGGAGGCAAGCAGGGTGGGAAAATCTGGGAAGCATTGCAAAGAGGGAGGTGGGACGAAGGGAGAGCTGCCAGATTAACGGCTCTATCAGTCTTCGTTAGTAGTCACAGTTACAGTGTTGTACAAGCAACAGGTGATCAACCTTAGGTAGGTGACGGTACCAGTTTGCTGTCGTCTTTCATTCCGCAGCAAAATAGCGTTCTTACTTGTTCTAAGAGATTTGCACCACTGATTGGACAAGCTCCTACATTTATATGACAAAGATACTTTTCAAATTATTCCTGGATCTTTACAAACACAAAGTGAGAAATTTACATCCTTGGGGGTGAGGGTATCTGTAAGTGAATCAAAACTCTGATTTTTAAAAAGCGACCTGAAATTTCAGGAGATTTCATCCTTTAATGTCCCAAACTATTATGGGACCCAGGTAAACGCCTTCCTCTCGGCCCTGTCTCTTTGAAAACTGGAATAATCAACTGACCCACTCATCTCACAGAAACATTAGGATGGCTAATCAGTTGATGCTCATGCAGAACTTTAAATGTGCTGTGGTAGCAGCTTTTTGCATGTTTTTTTGATTTGCAGAAGAACTTGGATTCAGCATGGCTGCACGTGTTGACTGTTCCAGTTAGGAGGTAATGGTGACACTGCAGTGAGGTTCTTCATGTGTCTCCCCTGCAGAAGACATTGCAGTGATGGGGCATTTACCAAAAGAAAACCAACCATGACTGCACAGAGCGCTTTATATGCCTAATTTCCCCTGAATTCCTGCTACCTTAGTCTGTATGGTATTACTCTTCTGCTGTGATTCAAATGCTTTTCAGTGGTTTTGCTCCTGGCCCAGTTATGCACCCTGGCCCTTGCCTGCCCTTGTCACCCTTCAGTGAGCCTGGACCTCCCAGCCACGCACGCTGCAGTTATGCCACCGCTTTCATCCCAACAGGGCTTCAGTTGGGTTTTGCTAGCCCTGTTGTGCAAACACCTTTCATGAATGTCTATTCCTTCACAAGATAGGACAAAGCTCTGCTTCCTGGAACGCAGGAAGCCACCTCAGTGCTGTTATTCATATCCTACTACTCGGCCCCAAAGCTTCCGTCAGTTCCACACGCTGGGGCTCCGTCAGGTGGTGGGGAAGCTTCCTTCCTCGCCCGCTTCTGCACAGTCGTCTTACTACTTCTTTGTGGAAGCTTACATCTGCTCCTTGTGCACACTGTACCCAGCACAGTATCAACCAAACCAATGCTCTACAGGCAATTTAGATATTTAAGGAATTTCCATTTGCCTTTGTTTAAGATGGAGACTTGCATCTCTTATACATTTTATAAGGGAAAGATGGTGCCAAAGCCCACCTGTGTTCCACAATGATCTCACAGTCTTTATTTTGCCAGATGAAGGCTGTTACCTCCAATGCTTCACACACATAGGGAGTAGCACTCACTGTTGTGATCTAAAGCAACAGGAAAACGTTGAAACTTGAGACCTAGGCCAGATTTTTCATCTTATATTTAATTTATTTTTCCTGCTTCTGCTTCAGTACTATTTCTGTTCATTCAGAACTTGGAATAAAAACAACTGTCTTGCCAGAGTCATCGGAAACTGTGGGCAGGGAACCTGTCAGCATGTCTTTGGGAGCCTTCATGAGATAGTGCCTCTGCATTTCTTGTCTGTTACGACAATGGCTTTTTTTTTTTTTTTTTAAGACAAAAGCCCTCATTCAGAAACCAGCTTAAATCCATGCTATACTTCAGTTATGTTAGTAGACATACTATTCCCATTTAATAAAATAGTTAGGCATGTGCTTCAGTTGTAAATGAGAAAAGTGCAGAAGTATGAGACTTATGGAGACTCAGATGTGCACATACCGGTGATGCCATGCTGTATTGCAAACTACAATCGTATTAAATTACTTTCTGGCTTTATATTTAGTATGCATATTTCTATCAATTTTTCTTTAGGTACACATCTTTGTATTTGTCCCAAATGCATCTCATTTATTTCATAATTTCTGCCTTACTAAGTATTTTCATATTACTTTTCTTGCCCAGTATAATCTATAATTTTGCAGCATCTCACTGCTCAGTACCATCTGAAAAAATAATTAATATCCTATTTTCTTTGTCTCCTACTCCCCATCTCCTCCTCCTTAGCTGAGCTTCTAAGAGTGAAAGATGTACATGTGGTTAAACATTTGTAACATCACATTTAAAAGAGCAGATGTTTCAGGGTCAGAACACATTCCTCTCCACCCTACCTCATATATTTGCTTCTCCTGCCTAGGACTTTTCTTCAGTGAAACTGGTTTTGAAGGGATTTTTGTCTGATTACGTTCTTTCAAGTGAAAAGCAAATGACTGCAGCACATGAGCTGAAAAGAGAGTCCCTGACAAACATCAGACAATTGTGAAACAGAAGTGGCCAGACACACACATTCACCACAATGAAAAATGATGACAAACTGTGTACATTTTAAAAGCTGGGATTAACAGCAAGCATCCACCTCTTAGCATGAGTCATTCCACAGTTATTTCTGTGCTTGAGTGGATCAGAACCAAAGATGCAAAGCATTTGCGGGGTTCCAGGTGTGTTGCAAAAGGTATTCCCCTCGCATGACCCAGTGAACATCATATACTAAGAGTGGGTATGCATCTGAATGAACATATAAGATGTTTCAGCCAGGTGATATATGCTGAAGGCTGTCACTTTGTGGACAGGAGAGGTTTCAGACTCCCATCTGTCCACCACTGTTCTGATCTCAAGCTCACAGTTTTTTACAATCTTATGAATGTAAACCATTTCATATGTCAGTAGGAATGCACACAGTAATAAACATACAGACTAACAACTCATTGCTTATATTAATTTGTGCTTTGTGTCACTGTGAGACAGAGCTGTCTAACCTTTTACAAGCCATTGGTGACAAATTTTGCACAACTGGAGTCAAATAGAACTTGATGCTTACATCTGTCTTCTTCAATGAGATTCATTAAGTTCAATATGTGCATAGTTGTCTCATTTATTCTAACACCAGACTCTAGGACACTTCACCTAACTATAACCAGCTAGATGTATCTAGTTTAATTTAAGCTGAGTCACCTACAATCCTTTTATAGTCAAAAGAGATAAATCAGTTCTTCCAAAGGATGATAAAAGGTAAAACAGCTTCTAGTAACATCTCCCTTCCCCCGCAGCTACAGAGGGAGATTAAATGAATAGTTTAAATAGCTGAAGTTAAGAAAACCAGGTGGATTATGAAACCCACCTGTAGTCCATCTCCCTGGTGACAGTATGATTCACTTACACAGTTCATAGGGAAGAAGCAAATCTGTCAAACACAATGGCACAAATGTGCATATTCAACATGTATATACCTACCATTGCTTTTTTATTCCTCTTGTAATTGATTAATACTCTAGTCAATAATGCCTATGTTATGTCTCAGCCCCATAAGTGCATTGCACTTCTCAGTTTTGTCATTAAAGAATGAACTGCTCACCTGTTTACAATTAAGCATATGCTTAAGTGCTTGCTGGGTTGGAGTCTATTATTTTGTAGTTTAGGTACAATTTATTCCTTTCACTGCACATATTGTTGTTACCTTTTTTTTTTATTATTATTATTATTATTACTATTTTTATTCTTGTTTTGCTACATTTGTCCATCTGGGAGCAGGATGTTTTCTTCATGATTCCTAATTCAAATTGGTATAAAATTTTATTTTTTAAAGAGTGATTTCAGGAGTTTATCCATTAACATATTTTTATTTTTTCTGACTTGAACTGTTTAATTGTAGCTTGTGTGTTTAGAGCTACAAGCTGTGATAATCAAAATGCATCTGCTTCCCTGCTACTGGTGGTAAAATATTTCATGCATAATCCATTACATTTAAATAAAATAATTTTTTAAATTACAATAGTAATGTTCTCTACCATTCATAGAACTAGAAGTATATAATCTTTGTTCCAGTTACAGAAAAGATTTAAACCCACTAAAATTGATTTTTATTTCTTTTCAGCAAGGAGGTCTGATTTTAAGCTTATAATTATTGGTTTTAAAAAATATTTAGTAGAGCTCGGTTGATTAAAGATTTTTATGGTAAATATAACATTATTGAATTCTAAAATGTTTAAATTCTTACTACATAATATTATTTGCAATAAATTATTCCAAGAACTCTAAAGCCTTTATCCCCAAGTACTAATATAATGCAAGATGGGTCTATTTCAATCATCATTTCTTGTTTGCATTCAAAGTTGAGGTTACATTTTAAACAAACCCAAAGCCTCTGGTTGTTTGGATCCATAGTCCTGTTACAGCTCTAACTCTGGCTGTAACCCTACAAGTCCGTTTGGCCTCACTCATTGCCAGCACCACTCCCTTGCTTTAGTGACGTCAGCTGAAGGATTAATTTAAGACATTAAATCTAACACCCTGAAAACAAATTACACAAAATATATTATGTAGCAAAATCTAATCGAGTTCTGACTCCAACCTTGCTTGGCTTAAACAGTCTGCTCACTTTTTCTTTCCACTGAAGATCACACATTCTTCTAGGACAACATTCAGGAAGAGCTTGCAAAGGGGGCTTTTATCTTTCCTTTTAAACTGATAACATTATCAAGCGTAATTCAAACATCAATTTCACCATTATCTAGTTTTCCTTAACATTCCTTTCTGACTGACTATATTCCCATGCAAACTCTCCCTTTGTTCTCCCACAGAAAGGTGCTTGGAAGTATTAGAAAGTTTCTGCCCTAAAAAGAATAAATAAAACCTTTCCAATTATGTGTTCTGTC